GTGGTGCTCATGGCCTCGCAGAGACACTCTTCCGGTGGAGAAAAGGCATATCGCATAAATCCTTGTGCCTACATAAGTCACTATGCACAATATCCCCCAGCCGTGTGAAGGTCTACAGGAAGCCCTCGCCTGAGTTCCCCACATCAAGTGGTGTCCGACATTGCCCAAAGGGCTCTTTTCTCACAAACACTTAGAGGGTTGGAGAGAGCCAGAGGCCGTCAAACAATGGCCTGGCAGCGTGCAACTCTATATCGGTCCCTTGCTTTCTTGCTCCGCCCAGTATGGTACATCAAAAGGCACGGTAGCCATAGGACATCCTTGATGAAGACAGGCGGAAAGCGTCGAATCAAAGATGCTCAATCCTGATTGGCTGGCATTCTGACTAATCAGGGCATGACTTCGTTTGGTCCGTATCCTGCACATGAAACATCCGCCCAACTTATGCGATGTCCCGTTATCAGGGACGTCTGGCTTCCGGACACAGCGAAGTATAAAAGCATTTACCAGTAAACTCATCTGCGCTGGTCATTGCCGTTTCCCCGGATGGGAACCCCGAGAAAGGCCTCATCGATGGTTAGAGACATTGTCAGACATGGCCCAGTCGCGCCCTCAGCGGTGCTCACGCATCCGAGCTATTGCCTTCAATGCATAGCTTCCTTCTCACTACCTCCACTTAACGGTCCACCTACAGTGCTGTATTTACGCACTAATTTATCAGCTCCCGCCTCCAATGTGCAGCTGCCTACCCCACCTCCCCTAATCATCTGTAAAGGAAACTGTACGGCAAGTACGCGGTTATTACAGCTGACAGTGGTGGTAATGATTGTTTGATAGCCTTGTGGAGAAGAAATAAAGATGTGTTTCAGCCTGCCGCAGTCATTCCGAAGTGCCCACATCAGACACTCATTTAGACGATCGGCATAGAAACTGACAACATGAGCTTCGTTGAGATCGATTAGAAGCCATAGCTTGCAGTATTCACTTGCATGGAGGTTTCGCGCAGATTTCTGTACTCGCACCAACAATACCCAAGCTTTCAGTGACCGTTTCAGATCCCTCTGCTAATCCAGAAGTTGACTCTCTGAAATGAGCAAGGATGATCACTTCTTCGGCATGCGGTGGTTGCGCGTGCGCATTGCATAAACAAGCAAGCGTTGAGTGAGGATCTCACCCTGGTGAAATGTCATCCTGACCAGGGTCTCTGTGGCGCTTGCGAGAACACATGCAATTATAAACATCTCAGGCCCATAGGGATTTCCAGGTTCACCCTCCATGGTCCAACTGAGGGGCACCAATTGAACACGGGAATAGTTTTCCAAAGTGCTCGGCCCAACCGTGGAGGCGTCTTTCTTAACTGGTTGCGCCAGTTTTATTCTTCATCGGTTCGCTAACATCCGATTTCCGGGGCTCTGTCTCACCGATCAACCGAAATAACCTTCGGATATTCACGGCTTTCTGCGCCTCTTCCATTTCCTTTGACTCCCGTGTCCACCGAGATCCACAATCGGCATGCGCACTTTCTTCCACTTGATTCCTGGTAATTTGTTGGGCTGAAGTGTGTTCATACCCGGTGGGGACATTTCACTGAGATTCAATCCACGATACTGTTCTGTCTGATATCCAGTACTAAAGTGGACCTAATAGCGCCGTACCACAAGCATAACCCCCGGCACCGTGGAAAGATATGGTGGTATCGTTTCAGTACGGATTGACATCAGACGGTGTTGCATTTAGAAGAGACTCTAGAGGACGGTTCTAATAGACATTGAGATCTTCCACCCTGTCAGTTGCTAGGCGATCAGTCCATCCCTTACACGGCCTTGGAAAACGAGGAGACAAAAGACTCAAGATGAGTGCGTCGTCGGAATCCACACAACTGTTCCAAAATGAACATCAGTCATTTATTGATCCGCACCATCCGCCACTGATGGCAATGTGATCAGTTTAAGTCTATGGAGGCCGCATCTCCGGTATCTGTGCTTTCGGCCTGTCGTAACAGGGCACTAGGAGCGTCATACAGCTTGTCTTTGATGACATCTGAGCTTCGGTCGTTTGGGGAGGGGGGCAAGGAGACATGACAAACAGACAGTGATCATGATCCCGTCTGTGGGACTCCATGGACCAGATGAACCACACATCTGAGCTTCGTTTGGGGAGGGGGGCAAGGAGACATGACAAACAGACAGTGATCATGATCCCGTCTGTGGGACTCCATGGACCAGATGAACCACACAGAGGCATCTCTCAACGGATATCCAGTCGAACAACAATCTTTTTGTTCAGTGACTTAGAACGATGACTACCCCTCTACATGCTGCCGTATTGGCTCCTTGATTGCCAAAGGTGCGCACTTGGAGTCGGGTGGAGAGTCATTGGGAAACTAGCTCAACCACCTCTTGTATCCTGAATTCTCGTTTCTGATACATAGCACACGTCAATCTCCAAGGGATCGATCCGGAGAGCAATACCACCATGTTGTCCTGCCTGCTTTGCTGTGCCGTCATTGTCAATCTCCAAGGGATCCATTGGGAGAGCAATACCACCATGTTGTCCTGCCTGCTTTGCTGTGCCGTCATTAAACGCAGCCAGAGAAATCAGGTGTCGAGACGTGAACACTGATCTTGAAGTGCCTGAGGTTTTGGGCGCTGGCTGACGGGCAGATGTTGCGACCAAGACCCATGCAATTCAAAAGGGGTCTCCAGCTCTGACGGATTGTTCTACAGATGTAGAGTTATGAATGAGGTGGAGGAGAGGGCAAATATATGAAAGAAAAGGAAGAAAGACGTCAGCAGGAGCCTGTTTTCGCTTATCCCCCCGCTCCTCAGTAGTTAAGACGTGAAAGCCCCGAGGGTCCGTGGTTTGAACCCAGCATCGGCATTTCCACTGCTTTTATTTAGGTTAGAGCAACCTAGCAGTATCCAATCCCTCGAGCTTCCCTCGGGTGACGTGGCAGCTGAATGATTATCTATTGTTATGCAACAAGCAAGACGACCCAGCTAGTGAAACCACGAGACGATGGATGCGTCATGACATCAATGTTGTAGTAATCATTCTTGGCTCATGAGCCTAACCAAGGGACGGCGCTGTTTGACGTGAAGTGCCGCTTTCTAAGGACCAGGTCGCCAACCGTTCCAGTCACCGAACCCCAAACTTCAGCACCAGGAAGCTGTGTTGGTCAGACCTCTAACTATTGACTAGTCTTGCTCGAACAACCCCTAATATCGCTCAATGGGTCACGGAGGCACACATCGTCACACCACGGTAAGGCCCAGTTTCTTCTTGACGGTTAGAGGCAATGGATGGTGTAGCAGCTGGAACCTATGTGCCCATGGTACACGGTTCATAGCTAATGAATTGCTTGGTTGATTGATCGGTGCAGGCACTTCAGAATACCAGACATACACTAGCGTCACGTCTTCCCTCATCCACTTTCATCTTTTTTCACTTTAGGAAATCATCAGCGTGAGGACTGAGACCGCTGTCACTGATAGTGGTGATGACGAGTTCCGTGGAGAGGGACGATCCTGCATCCTGGATTGTCCAAAATTAGGCCAAACGCGTGCTGTATGTTAATTTCTACAGTGAACACACTGGACGAACTGAATTACGTAGTTGGTCATTATCGCCGTGACACAAAGAGGTCGACGTAAAGGTCGAGTTCCAACGGCACATCATGACAAATCCAGTCGACTGCAATAGTTTGCTGTGTCAGGCAGGTTTCAGGAGCGGGGACTATCGGCGAGTTGGGCAGTCTCTTGCCTTGTGGGGTTCATGCCGTGAAGTGCACTAGTATCACGTCTGCAACTTTCCATTAGGACCCAACCAATCTTGCTAAAAGCTGAGCAAGAGACATCCAAAAATTGTAGCGTCCAATTATGCTCGTCGTTGTGGTGTCATTTGGAGGGAAGGTGGAAGTAACCAATTTCTACTACACGTCGAGGCTTCGCTCTAATTCACAATGGAGCTAGATTAAATTGCACTTTACCGGACTGCGAGGATTTGCGTACCTCAGCAGCCAACTCAACCGTGCTGGGGCATGCCAATATAGCAGCCGCTGATTTTTTCTTCCACGGGAGTCAGTGAATAGACATCTGAAAAGTTTTCGAACACTCCAGGTATGAGATGGATGGAAGCGTGTTTACCAAAAGTTAGATTACACTGTCTCACTCCGGCCTCTGGGCTAGAGATAGCTCAACAGTTGGTGCGCGGGATTGCTGCCTGGAAAAATATGTGGTTCAAGCCGAACCTTGGCGTTTCGATTGCTTTTTCCTAGACCTGAACAACCTGATAATATCTAACTTTCCCTGCGTTTTTGTGGTACTCGGCAGTTGTGCACCGAAAGGGCACCATCATTAAGTGGTTTATTTTTGTGTTGTCACCGCCGCCTTGGGCTCACGATTTTGAACCGAACGCTTCGTTTATGGGCCAAACTCATCCTCTTGTATAGGTTTGGGAACTCTTGAACTACCTGAGCTCATATGCTGCCATGAAACACAAACAAAAGCACATTTATGCTACACCGGCTCTCCCGTGATGGTACTGGTTTCATAGCATTATTCGCTACACACGAGTGAATAAGCAATGGTACGTGATTGTTGATAACTCCTTTATTGTTGTTTGCCGAGCCTGACAATTCTGTTTCAAAAGGTTATGTTATCAACCGAAGTGCTAGCTTCTGTAGGTCTCAGCCGCGGACTTGCCAGTCAGGCATTTGGAAGGGTGACTGACTTGATGACGTAACTCTCGTCCGCTATTTAAACCTTGCACTCCTATCCTTATCGTAGCTTTTGACGTACCATCTCTAAAGCGGTGGCACCTCCTGCCCCTTACCTACAATAGGTAAACATAGGTGTTGTCGGCATGTTGTTTTTTAGTGGTATGGAGCTCTTGTGGGGCAACATGACTCCAAATTTTTGCTTTTTCCTCTTCATATTTTAGCCACTGACTTCTCTCGCGTCTGATGCCTCGTGCTATCAAACGTGTCGTCAGCGCCATCGATTGGGTTTCAAATGAATTGGCTTTCCATTCAGATTTGAATCAGAACACTGAGTGTATACCGTGGGTTGAGGCCTATGAACCACAGAGTGAAGTATGTGCTTTTCGTAGATCCATCTTCTGCTGTCCGAATAGGCCGACCTTGTGATCCATCGTGACAAGCTTCGGGAGCTTTCTATGACCATCAAGGAACTTTTCAGTAGCTCACAGGTGCGCTCATCTGGCGGTCCGATTTTAGTGCTCATCGGACCTTCGGGTTGCGGTAAAACTACCACAATCAAGGTCTTGTTACGAGCAACCACAGTGAATGACAGAAAACCTGTTCAGATTATCGAATGGAATGATGACTCCCTGGAAGCTGATGACTTTACTCAGCTGGAACAGTTTGTTTCGCAAGTCAGTCGTTTTGGACCAACCATTAGATGCTCTGATGTTCCCGGGCAAGAAGACCTCCCTTTTGCTATTTTGCTCGAAGTAAGTGAATAATCAGTATTTCCTACCTTCATTTCAAGCGTTTTTATCACACTGACTAAGCTGCGTAGTGAAAAAGTCTAGTTGACTAGCGGGTTTTCACAACACATGACAATATGTCTAACTGTCGGTAGCTCGTCTGAGTTAATCGACTGTTGATAATATGACAGTTCGCCCGTTTATCCAACCTAGCAACATATACACTGGTGGATAAGTTGCACTGAGCGTTTGAGTGTTCCGTCTATGTCCGTTGGAAATTGACCTCGAGATAACTCAGTGATTAAGCAGCGAAATTATTGACCCGAGGGTACTTGGTTCAAACCCAATCTCTGCATTTCGACTGCCTCTGTCTAGGCTTGAGCAACCTGGCAGTATGCCATCCCTCGTGTTTCCTTTGGGCGACATGAGAGCTAGGCACCCAGAGTTGCAGCTGAACGATTATTGCCTCCGAGATGTACTCATCAGTCTGATGGCGTCTTTTCTTCAAATGGATCTTTACTGCGGCCTGTTTCTCGCGACCCTACGAGTGACGTAGGCAACCTGGCGATTCTGTTCATTGCACTGCTATTTGTTTTTCTTGTGTACGGCAGTTAAGCACCAGTGTATTTCTGGCAACGGCGATGATTTTCTTTTTATGTCCAGTTCAGTTTAGGTCGTCATGGTGTCTCTACCTGTCTTGTGCATTACGCCCAAACTAACAATAAAAGACGCTAATGTAAGAACGATGAGACGTTGAGCGAAAATACACTTTTAAATCTATGTTTCCGCCCACGTATTAAGTCACTTAGTACTAAGGAGCCGTTCCATCCTTGCTGGGAGATTAGGACTCAACTATCTACTCAGCTGCATAATTAATTCGCACATAAATTAAGTATGCAGCCAATCATCCCTCAGTCACACAGGTGTTAATGGTGTTAATGTTGGACGGCTCATCAAGTGGGAACTACTTAAAGCAGTATTTCTCAGCCCAGGTGCCGCAAGGCGTTTCATCCCTGTGGTCACCAACCTCTCAATTAAAAATTATCCGTTCAGAGAAACCTGTAGCTTAATACATAATCCACTTGTACGGATGAGGCATCTAATAAGTTCGACTGGGAATTCGACTGTGAGAAACATGCAATAATTTGTTCTCGGACGTTTAGTTTTTCTCCATACATCTTTGCGAAATGTAATTGGCTTGGGTGCACTACTTGGTCCGTTCAACCAGCTTAGCGGTTGGATTGGGAAAACCAGTTTGAATGTTCTTAATCACTATGGTAGCCACATGTTATAAATGTGAATCGAATTCGAATGATGACTGAGGGGTATTTAGACTCCCGAAAAATGACATCAGTGGGAGACAATCGGATGTCGTCCTTTTATAGAACTGCTCAATCGATTACGGTAAAACTGATCGGGCACATCAGTGTCCTGTCACATTATGACCCCGCCTTGTAGTTGTACAGTGGTTTGAACATCGTGGTCTTAGCTTTCCAGAGGCATCGTCTGCAATTTACGATACTTTGGTATTCTCATTGGAAGCGGTTATTCGGTGCTTTAGGTCATTTTGGAAACATTAGTCTTACGGACGGCAGTCCGGGGAGATATTACTTGGGGGTAGTTTTGGTACCGGCACGTGGGCATGACGCTGTCCACATCTACTGAGAGGAGATCTTGTGTGTGCTCGAATCTACGCACTTTGAGTTGCTCTTTCACCTTCAAACTTGGAGGGCCTCAGTTTATTCTGTCCGTCGTTATGCACACAAATTTCATTTTGCTAACCTACTGATGTGACTTGTAATGTAAGTAATAATAGTAATAATTATAATCTCAAAAACCTGTAAACACGTTCTCGTAGCGCAAAATGTTCTACCTTAGGTTGATGCGTAGGTCGCATGTAGTCCGGAACCGGATCAATAAGCGCCATTTAGTTCGAATCTTAGATTTCTTCAGTTTCTTGTGATCTTTTTCGGGCATAACGGACAGTCAGGCACTAGGTTCAAACATGATACAATATGGGTATCTTGGCTGCACCATAGATTACTGTTCTTTATGCAGCATACTCAGTGTCAGAAAATGTTTTTCTCTTTTGATACCCCCTCGTTAAATTTGTCTAGGTGTAGAGAGAACCAACTTGTCGTCTATTTGGAGATTACAACCTCAGGCACGTATGCAACACTGTATTAGGGCTTCTATTCCTCATTTCAAACGCAGTTGGTATCTTCTCTTGATAGAAACATCTGTATTCTAAGAGGTACAGTGCGCTAACTTTGGTTTAACCTACTACTGAAATCCAGGAACGCTGAATTTTGGCAAGTAGTGTTGAATATTAGAAAAACGCTGGAACAGTGTGTCATCCAAAAGATGAATTTGAGAACTTTTGCAATCTTCCTTCAGGATATTAATAGGTGTTATGTTAATGAACGTTGTACATGTAGTTTACGGCTCACTGATTACGCTTACCATTTCCACCAAACTTTGAACAAAATTAGACTTGTGTTTGAGTGTGCCCTACAATATTAGGGCAGGTTTTCCGTCTTGCAGCCTGCAGCTGGGGTCCTACCGGGAGCAGCAGGCATTTATCAGTATGTTTGGGGAAATGTCCCTCTGTTTAGTCGTTCCATTTTTCAAAACTGTGTTGTTGTAAAATGACTGGTGCGAAACGCCTTCTTCGGAGGCTTGCTAGTGGGTCTCTTCGTAGCACTGGGACTAATAGACAGCTCATTGTCATTAGTTCCCGCTGATTTTTCCACCTCGTACTCATGCTTTTTCTTCGAGTTCTTTTAGAATCTCCCAGTGTCTACTGCGAATAACATAGCTCGGTTCCATCGTCTACTGAAGAACCACCACTTACGGGGTCAAACTCGTGGCCTTCTCGTGCTAATGTTCACTTCTAACAGCTCCTCCAAAGAAGGTCTACTCAATGAGCGGGTCTTGTGTCCAGCTTCTCTGCGCAGTGAGCTAGGAGTGGCCCGAGTCGAATTCAATTCCGTTGCTCCCACTCTTGTATTGAAAGCGCTCACACGAATTTTGTTGAATCGCGAGGTAAAGCAGGTACGTCCTCGTCTGTGCATTGCCTAATATTGTTATGACGGCTTGGAGCACTTAGGCTCATCTATTCGTTCGCAGTCAATGATTGCCACATACATCGAGGTGGAATCCACATATTCATTCTCATTAGTTCGCTTCGTTGATTAGTCCACCATTTGTGGCGAGATGGCCCAAGTGATAAGAGCGCAAATTTACTGACCGGAGGGTCCGTGGTTCGAACCCGACCTCTCCCTCTCGACTTCCCCTGTCTAGCCTTGGGCAACCTGACAGTATCCCAGCCCTCGTGCTTCCTTCGGGTGGCATGGCAGCTAGGCACCGAAAGAGTGCACAGCTGAACGCTTTCTTTTTTCTCTTGGTGTCTTGTTGCTGTGCTGAGTTGAGCTCACTACTTTGTAGTGTTCCAAACAACATTCGAACAGCCTGTCCTTTGTTTTAAATTCGTATTCCTTACCCTTTTTTCCTGTAATCCCCTATCTTCTCACACCTGTTTCCTCATTGTCCCTAAAATATGCGACTTCGTCTCTGCAAATTTCACAGTTTTCCTCTATTCGTAAATTTTGTTGGCGATTCAAGGACGCATGAAACTGAACAAAAGCACTCACTTGTGCAAGCAGCTATGTCTCAAAGTATTTCGTCCACTCGACACCTGTGAATTTTCGTGGTGTTGATCCCTATTCATCTGGTTTCAGTTGTCTCGTCCTTGAACAGAAGCATTGGTCAGATCTGGTGAGAACATGGGATTAGCGATGATTAGGAGCTCTTCCACGATAGCTGAATTACTCGCGCTTCATAGGTTACGCTAGTTAAGACATGTACTTCACATACCAGAGCACCGTTTGGCTAGCAGTGCTCGTTTCGCCCAGCCCTGTCCTTAGTGGAAGCGACAAGGAGGTGGACATTGTACGACCCGGAAGCGCTAACCCGTAAACTGAGTTGGGTCGGCAACTGTCGCCTCCCTGGATGGGGATCTCGGGACTCAACTCAACAATTGTTAATGGTACTGGCAGGCATTGTTCAATCACGCTGTCAGTGGCGCTCGCGCATCGCTTTCAACGCGTAGCTACCCAGCTCCCGAAATAACCGAACATGCTATCGGCTCCAGTGTCAAAATCGTCAGTGTCAAAATTCTGGTGTGACTCACTATCCTGCTGGCTTTCGATTCCTAGATACGTTGTTGCCCAGGTAAGACGTGCAAAATTATGTGAATTGAGGAGGAGAAATGATGTTGAACAGCTACTGATTGATTAATTTTTGGAAGTCAGCTGATCAGTTCCAGATTAACGGAATCGCTCGCTTCACGACAATAGTTATGCACATAGTAGAGGCAAGTGTGGTTTGATCAGCAGCGCTTTGCTTGGCGTTGAAGCCTTGCGGATTTTGTTGCGCAACAAGATTCGGAAGGATCGTGTCAGTCCAATGGCCGGTGTCTAAAATATCTGGCTGTTGACGATGTAGCATTGTGACTTGACCTCTAACCCAACTGTTCTCGTGACTATCTGGGTCGCTTACCGCGCGTTTCGCCAGGCACCTGTCTATCCTGCCAATTTGAGGGTTTCCGTAGCTGCAGAAGAACTATTAGACTATTTGTAATGTACTGCTCATAGAGTTGCTGAAAATCCGTCGACAGTCCACGACTGGTTTCGTCCTTTTTGGGGCTCATCAGGTAGGCGCAATCCCCGGGTTTCCGTCAACTTGAAACCAAATTGCACGAAATTAGCGAATATACACTCATTTGCAAACTAATTTGGTTTTTCGAGAGACTCACCTGGAACCCAGCTGAATCTCTCGTTTGTGATGTTTCCAGGCAGACTACATGAAAAGCAAATAGTTTAGACCGCTCTGGTTCATATTTGTGCAGAGTGAATTCTCCGGTCAGTATCGGGTATAGCTGGGCTGTAGTAAGAACATCTTTGAATGCTTCTTATATCAGTGTTCATCCAGTCGTCTTTAATTTGAAGGAATCAGTTTGTCTTTCTCATTGGCCTAATGTCAATTTTTAGATGGGATGTGGCGCTCCACCCCGACTGTTACTTCAACAACTCTCGAACGAATGTGCTGGTGACCTGAGAACCGCTATTAACCAGCTGCAGTTTTTAGCAAAGTCCGGTGAGTCCTGTCACATTCATCGACTTATTTGTTGTGGGGAATCACCAGCTCTTCGTTTGGACTTTATGAGGCTGCATATCGCTATTAGTCGCCACATAGTATTCATTTAGTACCGCATTCATATGATGACCTTACTTGTCACGTTTTGTTCTTTTACTGCTTTCTGCATGCTTCTTTCAACTCATTTGACACTCGGCGCGAACTTTCTACCCGCGGAATCGTTGTTAGTCATGTTTCGCCGTTTATGTAGCTTATGTTTGTTTTTTATTTCATTGCGGGACGGAAATCGCAGGTTTGTTCCTTTCGGGTTTTGTGTATCCGGCAGTAGAACCAATTCAAGTGTAGTATTCGGCAGGTCGTGAAGCTCAGGGCTGTAGGGAATACTAGGGAGGTCTTTCAGTTGTAACAGCCTTCCGGTGCCTAGCTGCCATGCTACCCGATGGAAGCAAGGGGGCTGGGATACTGCCGGGTTGCCCAAGCCCAGACAGGGGAAGTCGAGAGGCGGAGGTCGGGTTCGAACCACGAACCTTCCAGAGGGGAAGTCAGAGTCGGAGGTCGGGTTTGAACCACGGACTTTCCGATCAGTATGTTCGCGCTCTAATCATGTGAGCCATCTCGCTCCCAGGGAACACTAGACTGTGACGAGTATCATCAACTAGCGTCCGCATTTCAGGTGATGTCCACGGGGCTTGTGTTTTACAATGACGCCTATTTATATGAAGGAAACTAAAAGCATGATGACATAAAATAATCATTCTCGTTACAACGTTTTTTATACGGTCCTTCTGTGTTTTCTCATCAGGACAACATTTGTGAACGACAGCACATTCTCGGGGCTAACCGAGGCACCCCGACACGTTAGCACTCGTTAGAATCGTTGTGTATTTTAATGGAACATCCTACGTCTGATCATTTTTTAGTAATCCGTAAAGTACACGCATTCGGAAATAAAGTTGATGTTAACGGCAGACTCGATTGAATCCCAACCGAATCCCTAGTTTATGTGCTGCACAAAGACCGCCTTGTTTCTCGGTTGGTGTAATGTTCGATATATCTAAGCGTATTTTTTTTGACAAAAGTGCATCCAACAGCTCTACGAGTAGTATGGTTTGTCAAGCAAATGTTGCTATTCAATACTCATAAGCTCTTGTTAGCGGTCAAGTCTCCATCATCACAACAAGTGTGCACCGATAGCTATGCTACTTGTTCTCCTTTTTTATCCTCCTTTTTTATCCATGGCTGCTATCGGTATTCAATTCATACTGCAACCCTTGCCCTTTTTCGACATAGTTTCTTCCTTTACCTTCATATTTGTTATTTGTGCTACAATATTCGTTTCTTGTGTACCTTTAGGGTGGAAAAATCAAGGAACATATTCTCAAGTATCAAACAACTGTTTTCGGGATACTGGTCTACTTCTGTTCCGAGTTTTGGGGAAAATTTTATACGGAAAAAGTGAGTGGCTTGCCTTTTTCCCACTTTTCAGACAGTGTGTCCTATGCGAGTTGTCATCCAAGGTTAACCAGTGTCCCATGATCTCTGTGTCATATAAGATTCTCATGATTGCATTTACGAGCAGCAATGGCGGGTAACTCGCCTTCGACTTCACACGATGTGTGACGTTCACTGGTCTGTTTATGTTGGATCTCTAGAGAGCATGAGGTGCAGCTCGTTGGCACTATTTGCCAGAGAATGCGCAGGCCCGGATACGTATGGAGATAGGTTGCCTTCTCGCACAGGGCTTTGAAATTGTACGTTTTCGTCGAAGACCTCGTCATGTTAGGTAATCTGTTTGGTCCACGTGGTGTACCATAGTGTCTGGTTCAGTCGGCCTCTTTCAACCAAGTTACTGTTCACATTTCCGGAGGGGGGGGGGGAGATGGACCAGGTGGTTAAAGCGCGAGGTCTGTGGTTCGAACCCGACCTCTGCCTCTTGACTTCCCCTGTTTAGGCTTGGGCAACCTGGTAGTATCCCGGCCCTCATGCCTCCTTTGTGCGGCATGTTAGCTAGGCACTGAAAGGGTGCTACAGCCAAACGATTATTTTGTTTTTCATCTCACATTATTGAAGCCCTATCATGGAAGTCCATTTGAATGGCAGGATATTGATACCTCGTCTGCCCATCCTTCTGCGCACTGACGATGTTTTTTCGTACGGTGACGAAACGTATCTCAGCGGAAAAATCAACTGCGACCTCATTATTGGTTGATCCTCCGAGCAATCGCATGCATTGAACCTGAATTTCTAGATGTCTACATTTGGAGACGTTGCTCCTCGAGACTATCAGACTGTATTTTACCTGTGTGAGTGACGTTTACTGAACACAGCTTTTACTGTTTATCAACCTAGCACAGTAACACAGCCGGCCAAGATATATATATATATATATATATATATATATGTAGAGTGTTGGAGCGCGCGATTGGTCCTACTATAGTAGGCCACATGCATGGTAATCCAATAGCTCGTGTTTTATCGTCAAGTTCGCAGATGGTATCCAGCAGTTTCCAGATTCAGTACGCACCTAGACACAATGTTAACATGCTTGAACAGCCCGTATTCGTGAAATACACTCATTTGCAAATCAATTTGGTTTCCACGAGAGACTCAACTGAATCCCTCGTTTATGATATTCTACAACTGAATGTGCTGCACACAGGCCGCCTCATGATTCAGTTGGCACGATATCCGAGATATCGCAGTATATTTTCATGAAGGAAACTACTCACTGAAAACTCTTCGACAGCCCACGACCGGTTTCGCCCTTCTTGGGGCTCATCAGGTAGGCGCACTCCCCGAGTTTCCGTCAACCTTATGTTCTACTTGAACCCAAATTGGACTGTTTTTGAAAAATACACTTATTTGCTCGTATTCGTTTTCATCGAATAGTGTGGTATCAGTCTGTACAGATAATCAGATGCAGACACAGTGAATGTTTGTCTGCGATTCGTGGCTAGTATGGGACATACTGCTATCATTCTTCGTACTTTCGATGTGCCCTGGTTGGCTGAAAAGGAAGCCCTATCAGTAAGGGAACAAAGTAAGAATAAAACCGTCCAACACCAATGTGTAGATTTGAGATTGTTCCATCTTTGTGGACAGTTGCCAATGTCTGACTGCAAGAGGAACATACAGGTCTGATTGGCTCAAAGGTCATCGTTGGTATTTTGACTGAAGGAATTCACAAGAACAATGGCATTTGTATTGAGGGGTTTGAAGCATCGACATGGTGCAATCTAAGTAAAGTCACCAAGATTGTGCTGTATCTTTGATGTAGCCCATGCCGCACAGATGTGAGTGTCCACTGAGTTTTCTTGTAGGCCTACTCTCAAGTAATCAGTGCACCGCTAACATATCGGCTGCATTAATTCACAGTGCCCTAAGATTCTTTCCTGGGCGTCATCCACCAACAAGAAACGGGAGCTACCTGCTACGCTTAGGGAAACGTATTTCAAACGAGAATTTTTCACGGAGATCAGAGTTCCGCTCAACGAAAGCGTTTTTTATGAGAGTAACGGTTGACATCAAGTTCCCGACACCTCCTACACCTGGATAACGAAAAGTCGGATGTATGTGACGAGATTTTATCGGACTAGAGCAAATAGATAAAGTATTTGGTAGCCCTGTTTGAGCACAATTATGAACAACACATCCGAGTTTAGGGCAAGCATCCGGCATGACCAGTTGGCATACTCGCCGGTGCTTTCGGTCATAATTCTGTTGGAGAAAAAATCGTTCAGCTGTAGCACCCTTTCGGTGCCTAGCTGCCATGCCACCCGAAGGTTGCACGAGGGCTGGGATACTACCAAGTTGCTTAAGCCTAGACAGGGGAAGTCGGGAGGCACAGGTCGGGTTCGAACCACGGAACTTCCGGTCAGTAAATTCGCGCTCTAACCACTTGGTCCATCTCGCCCCGGACAATTGATCTGTGTGATATCTAGCCACACTTGAGTAGGACGCGGAAAATGATGGGGAGAAAATATAGTCAAGTATCTACCGTTGATGAGTTATCGAAAACGTGGTGAATACGGTGAAATTTCACTTTACACCATCATTTTTTCCCAACCCATATTACAGCTTTGTCATCTGCTCCAAGCTGATCCCATACTAGACCGTCGACAAAACCAATTTACTTGGATAAAGTGTGCTGATCTCACGGGTTAAGTTGGCGAGAGTGCTAATTATACGGACCATTTTCGTCTGCTGACTAGTACAACTAGACTGGCAACAGAAGAAGTGGAGCATTAAAATCAATCAATCAATCCTTCAGATGTAACACCCTTTCGGTGCCTAGCTGCCATGCCAACCAAAGGAGGTATGGGGGCTGGGGTACTGCCAGGTTGCCCAAGCCTAAACAGGGGAAGTCGGGAGGCGGAGGTCGGATTCGAACCACGGACCTTCCGGCTTTACCACTGAGCCATCTCGCCCAGCGGAGCATTAAATCAACCATTTTGAGAAAGAAACTCAGTGGAACATTAAGTCAACCATTTTGAGGAAAAAAGCGTCTCCTGTTTAGTTGTGCTGAGATTTTTCTTAAACTGGAGACTGTGAAATGTGACTTATCTCAAATGGGATAACCACGGACCTTCCGGCTTTACCACTGAGCCATCTCGCCCAGCGGAGCATTAAATCAACCATTTTGAGAAAAAAGTGTTTCCTGTTTAGTTGTGCTGAGATTTTTCCTAAACTGGAGACCGTGAAATGTGAATTATCTTAAATGGGATATTCCCTCTGGTTAGTTGTGCATCACAGTTGCTAAATTATCTGGTTTTCTAGATGAAAATCTGTCAATCCAGGTAGCCCTGTGAATAGAATCTTGCACCACCGTTTCAACAATTCCTGTTCAAACTCATATAGACGCTTTTCTGTTCGCCGACGGTCTCTTTTCTGATAAAAACATGATGGGCCAATTCTTTTGAACCGAATATTTATATTTTTCTGCATTGTTTTCAGGAGAAGAAACTCATGTGAAGCGGCCAACCTGCAATGTTGCTAGTGAGTATCCTTCGTTGCCCTCGCATTTGGAACAGTGGAAACGATTTCCACTGTCGTTTGACGTTGAGGTAAGACACGTCCTGTTTTGACGCTTCCTTAGCTCAGAATACCTCTTGGGTTAAGGACAAGTGAAGGTCATCGTTTTCGATCCTCGATGACTTTCACGTGACCTCAACAACTCGCGTAGTTCCAAAGGGCTGTTTGGCGAGCGTTGTTCGTAAGAACCCTGTCACAGCTGGATGATTTGATCTGATTTGATGGCGTTATTTTGGTGCCCAATTTACTGTTCATGGTCACCGCTCTATGTTCTTCTGACACTGGTACTACTGGACAGCTTTTTTGTTGCTCGGGATTACGCTTGTTTGCTTGATATTCTCGGCATCCATTGCCTTTGTTGCTTCTTCAACTGCGTTCATATTTCAAGACCCGTCGTTTGGTACGAAGACGTGATGGAGTACCGAACTTTCACCTGCCAAAAAGCTCTTCCCGTCATTCATTTTTGTATGAATGTTTCAGCGCCAACGTCCCAAGCTGCTGATGAGCTTGGTGGAAAACCGCTGCAACAAGTTCGACCTCCGGAGAGTGTGGGGCTTACTCGCAAGCCTTGGAGGTGATATGATGTGCAGTTCGTTCGGAAATCGGGTAGCTATGCACTGAAGGCGATAGCTTTGATGCACGAGCGCCATTGACTGCTCAATCGGGCCAATTCTGCCAGTCTCATTAGCTATTAAGGAGTTGAGTCCCGTGGTCCCCATCCGGGAAGGCGGCAGTTGTCGATCCAACTAAGTTCATTGGTTAATGTTTTCCTACTTCTTTGCCAGTGCATTCACTGTCCACCTCTCGGTCGCTTTTACTCAACACAGGGCTGGGCGAAAAGAGGTCTGTGAGGCAGACGGTCTCATGACATGCTGAGTGCTTATCCTAAATAGCGTAACCTATGAAGCGTGAGTAATTCATCTATCACGGGAGAGCTCCTTCTTCCTAAGACTACCCGAAGGACATCAACATCACTAATCCGATGTTCCCACTAGACCTGATCGATGCTTCGAAGACACCGATGTTATTCGGCATTTCATATCCCGTCGTCTGTCCTTGAACAAAACGCCTTCATAAACGTTTCTCAAATAACCATAGAAGTTAGTGATGGGAGATTTGTCTTACCTGTTATCGAGTCTTTTCAACCTCAGTTTTCCATCATAATAGCTCTACAACAGGAATGCTAGAGAAGTTGCTCCCATTTGTGTATCGCCTCAAAGTCCCAATGTGATTTTTATCAAGTGCGTTCCCGTCTTTCCGGTCGCAGAACTTTGGTCGAGCGTACTTTTAGTTCACCATGCGCGATACAAAATTGAGTAGTAAACGTGTTATTTCAACGAAAAGCCAGATTCTCCACAGTGACCTTCGGTTCCTCAGCTGACACGGTACAGTGGTCATCCATTGGTCTTGATGGTCCCGAACAAAATAGGTGACTCCAAGCAGCCCTTATTATATAGAGGGTGCGTTTTAAGTAGTCTTTATCGTAACTTGAAGAGGGTTTCCCTCTTTTTTTGTGACGATCAATATGTCATTGATATTCCGAATCAAGGAGGGCATAAACGACAATGCTATCTGAAGTTACCAATTGCTCAGCCTAGATTTTATTATCTTGGTTGTTTTGTGCGCACGGAAAACGACTTTGTTTATGGTACGAAGATTTAGTCAATCCAGGTATACGTCACGTGATAGCCCCTCATACAAACACTAGGTTCTTCTAAGAGTAAGTAGTTTCGTGATAAGATGTGGATGAAGGCTGGCAGAATTAGATAATATTGGAAGG